CTCTTCTGCTTTCACAGCCAGCTCTGGCCCTTCCCAGCCCACAGGGCTCAGCACTACCCAACACTCACTCGCTCCTAAACCTTCAGAGCTGTTCCCAACAGGAGATGAGCCCAAGAGGCAGAGGGGAAGCAGAGGCAATTCTGGAGCCGACGCTTTAAAATATGTTCCACTGGGTTCAGCCTCAGAAGAGGAGATTCTCAAAGCTGTGCCAAAGGGCAAATTTTAAAGTAGCTTTAAATAAGACCTCCTAAGGCTCAGGAGCTTAAAGAACTTGAATAGCCCAGTTTCTCCCCCCCACCCCTTTTTTTTTTTTTTTTTTTTTAAAAGAGAGGTTGATTGCCAGCCAGGTTTTCCCCAAAATCCACAAGCTCAACTAATTACAAGCACTTCAGCCCTGCAAAATAATATTTCCCTTACACGGGCCACTATAAAAAACAAGTTCTGCACAGTAGGCAAATTTAAAATAACTTTTAATTAACATTTAAGACACAGAAGTCTGATCATGCAAATTCATCTGCGTCTCCTCTCTGTGCCTGATTGTTCCTGATTGAATACGATAAAAATAGACTTTGTAAGAGTCGAGTGTAGGCATGGGTTTCTTTTACTTCTCCTCGCTTCTGACTATGCATTTCCTTAGATAAAGTGGAAACCCTCAGATGGAGATTATCGGTACAGTGGGTCAGGCTGGAAAGGGCATCCAGCTTGACAGAAGCATTAAAGGCATTCCTTCCATGAGCCAAAAAATGCCTCCACCTTGCGTAAAATCTAACCTGAGAGAATCCAGCACTGTTCTGTCTCAGCTGACGCTTAATCTTTGGAATACCAACACTAATTTCAGTGTGCCTCCTCTGTATCTGAGGTGAACATCTGCCCAGGGGCTCCGTCACAGATCTGTACTAATGTGGAAAAAATGCAACTTGCCTGCACATAGGAGATAAATATTCGAAGGGTGGCAGAGGAATTTCCACTCCATTAGAAAGTGTCAGAGAACACAACCGTGCTACAAGCAGCAGGACACTGCGTAACGGATGGCACACAGATACTGCTAGTAGCAGCTATCTCCTAGCAGTTGGAGCAAGTTCCCTAGAGAAACTTCATACAAGGTCTTGATGCAATGCAAAGTCCAGCTAAAATTTCACCATGCCATGTCAGCTGACGATTAGGCAGGTGCAAACCCACCAAGAATGCCACAGGAATGAATCAGCACAGCTAATCACTCCAAATGGAAAATTTGGGCATGGTAGGTGAAACTTTTCCAAGGCATTCCAGAGCCCACAGGAGCAGGCTGGTCAGGCACGTCTCAGAGAACTCCTACTGCTGCTCTGTGGCAGAGGAAGAATTGAATCCCTCCATTTATTTTTGCAAACAGCAATGTCACATGAAGAACACAACACAAAGAGCCGGCTGCTGAAGTCCCTTAGCTAGCCAGAAGAGCATTCCCTGGCTCACGGACCTGCACTAAATCATTAAAATTGCCCAAAATAGCTGTCTATGATGTTTACAGTAACATAGGATACTCCACTCTTCTAGCACAGATCTGTTTCCCACTGAGGCAGTATCTCACGAGATATCTCCCCTGTTAGTTGCTCTCTGATGCTTCTCAGCATGGCCAAATAGCATCACAGATTGAGGATGCATTCACCCTCATAAAAACCAGAGCTGGAAAGAACTCATGGAGGTCAGCTCATCCTTGCTGTGCCCCAGCATGTCACAGTTTGATGCTGGCAGTCCTAGGCATGCTGGCCAGAGCTGGCCGTGACTCTGCTGATGGAGCTGCTGGGCTCAGTGTTAGCAGCACATTTCAATTCAGAAATATTTCCCTCAGAGATTCTGATTTTTTTCCTCACCTTCTAACTTCATAATCCTTCATATGAGAATGCAGTCTTTCTTCTTCCCCTGATATTCTGTGGGATCTTCCCCTGGACTTTCAGCTGATGTAGTAAAGGATGTGAAAAAGACATCGATCCACTTTCACAGAAGCAAACATCCATTTTGGACTTTTATAGGTATCTTCAATTTGTACATTTAAGGATCTTCTGTGTGATCCTATTGCTCCTTTTTCACTTCTCTTCTAGCACTGCAATCACAGCCCACCTGGTTTTAAATGGCCCTTAACCAAAACACCTGGGCAGCCCATTCCTTCCTTGTGTCTGGACTTCCACCTCAGCCCCACGCTACACCCAATTACTGCCATGATCCCAATTTCCTGACCATCACAGTGGCTGTGTTTTCCTCTCCTGTCCCGTTGTTAAGTTTTACACAGCAACATTAATTCCTGCTGCTGAATACATGAGCTGTGACACCAGCATGTTGCAGAGTCCTCCCAAGCAATGTTCTTGTCCAGTAATGATGAAGCCCAACCCTCCCCCTCCCAACCCCCCAAGCTGTATGACAGGTAATTTAGGAGCACCATAAGATTGGCCTTTCTGTGCTTCAGGGCCAAATACAGTCACTCCAGTTCCTTTCAGCTGGCAACTTCCCAAGAGCAAACTGCTATTTCAGCTATTTGGTCATTTCAATACAGGAGTATTTGAATTAAGAATATAAGAATACACCATATCTCTCCAAACAGTCTCCAGTCTTAAAGGAGACCATGGGCTTCCTTACCCTGTGAGAGCTGTAGATTTCCTGGAAAGAGATGTTTGCCTTTTTTTTTAGACTTGTGAAAAAGCAGATCGGACTATTTGAGGACAGTGAGGAAATTCAGCTTCATTTTAAGGAGACTGATTAGCCCAGTGCTGTCCTCTGTGCCAGTCAGGGAAAAACCATATTGTGCTTCCATACTTCCACAAAATTCATCCTGGCTATTCCTGGGATTATATCGAAGATAATCACTTCCATAAAAATCAGAAAATACTACTGTATTATTGTAAAATGTGCTTGGTTTTCAAATCTTTATCAAGCCCCTTGTGCTACTGCATAAAGCCCTTCGGTCCTCTGCAGATCTCTTTCTTCAACGATTGAAATCAGAGAAATAATCGTACACAGCAGCCATGCTAAGAGGAAGAGTAGCATCTTCTCACCCATTTAACACAACTCTATGTGCATTTCTCTTGATGAACTCCATTCCTTTTATGTCTAACACACACTGAAATGTAAAACACTTGGAATTCACCTGAAAGCAGATTTCCCTTATCTTTTCTTCCACCAGTTTCAGATTTGGAAAATATTTTAAATATCCCAGTTCAGATATGGATCACAGCCTGACAGGGTGAAGCTCTGCAGAAGGCACTACAAGAGACTTCACCTCCTATTTTTCTTCTGGAGCCATGACCAGGCAACTTGGGTCATCTGGAACTTGTGCTTAAATGATGTGGCCACTAGATGTCATTCCTTTTTCACTCAAAAGAAGAGCTATTCACCTGGTAGAATAACCTCCCTGCCAAATATTAGCAAGCTTGTATGGTTGTATGAAAGTCCCATTGCCTGGGAATTGCCAAACTCTGTAAGACAGCCCCTAAAAGCCTTCCCAGGGAAAACAATCCCATGCTGGCACGAGAAAGGAACACGTGGCCTAAGCTTTGCAGCACATTTTTGTGGCTCCCCACAACCATATGTATCATATGTAGGGAGATATTTAATGACAGCTTTACACTACAAAGCTCAGTGTGTTCACTACGACAGATAGGAAGCACATGTGTTGTTGTAAAACCCAAGCTCTACCGGCTGGAACAGCAACACAGGCTGTGGGCTGGCAGCCCATTTCTGACTCAGGAGAAACCTAGTGCTGCCCTTCTTCTGAGAATCCACAACAGTCACTTCCCCTGTCTGGGAGATGAGCACGCTGTACCCAAGAGCTCAGGGTTCAGAATCACAGAATTGCAGGGGCTGGGAGGGACCACTGAGGTCCCTGTGGTGAGATGAAGGCAGGATCCCAACGCCAGCATGAAGCCCAACTGGACCCATGGTGGCATCAATTGGGATTTGCACAACTCCCTGGAGCTCTGCTGCATATTCACAGTCTGTAAGGGTGTAACTAAGGAGAAACTCCAGCACTACATGAATAAATATTTGCATATCCTGTAAGGCGGAATGAAAATTCAGAATAATATAAATAATAAACACATTCCTCAAAGAACATTCAGTGACATGAGCACAATGCAGTTTTGACTTTCTGTATTCTCACTGATCTGGTATCAGTTCTAGACAAATCATTTGCTCCTCCTGGTTTACAACGATATGAATATAGACAGTGGCTACACAGTGTTTTCTCATTTATTACCATGTAGATCTCTATACTCCTTTGTGGTTATTATGCATGTTTTGGTTCTTCTACCTCTATGGATTATGCAGGCCGGAAAGAACAAGACCACATTATGTCTCCTTCTGTCTTTTCAATTTTATCTTAATCAGCTCTAATTTGTCATTTGCAATCTCTCTATTTTTCCTCTTTCTCCCGAGTAATGAAGACTTGGAACACATGAGAACGGAACAGAGAAATACTGTACTAATAGAAGTAGCATCTTAAACTGATTAAAAGCAGATGTAGTGAAGTATGTCTACACACTTACTGCCGGCGCACACAAATACATCTGTTAAAGCTATCAGTGTAATACAAATTTCCTGGATAACTGTTACCATTTAGAGTATTTACTACTTCTTTGAAATCATATCCAGGCTACAAAACCCAAAATATCTGTTACTGCGCCGGATCTCACTCATAAGTAATAATAACTCTGAGATGTCTCCAGCTGATTGCTGTGAAACAACTGTATCCTCTTTGGGGCAATCAGACATCATCTGTTTGCCACATTATTTCAGCTCCTTTAATACCTCACTAAAATTGGTCGCCAAATAGTTTTGCTACCTCACAGATCATGTTATTTTCCTTTTCCCATCTTTTGCCTTCCCCCCCCAACTCCCTTATAAGTCTTTGTTCCACGGATTGGTCAAGTTTGTCCTATCTGCCAAACCAGCAAGGAGAGCCGACTGGCACAAACATTCCCGAATCACAACCATGCTGTGTCTGGGCACTGCTGTGCTAATGTATTGCTACTTACAGTGCTGGTCGTGAATTCAGGGGGGTTGTCATTCACATCTGTCACCGTAATGATTGCAGTCGCCGTGTTTGAGAGACCGTAGTTAAGATTTCCTTCCATATCTGTGGCTTGAACGATGACTATATACTGCTGAACTTTCTGGAGAGAAAAAAAAACAAACAGAAGAAAATAAAAAAAGGCATCCTGTAAAACGTCTCAGTTTATTTTCCATACATAAGTTCCATCTTAAGGCTGACTACTAAGTTAGATAGGCTTAAAATGCTAGTAAGAAAACATAAAATTTTCCATTGCCTTTCTGAAGCAATTTTCGCATATATTGGTGGCTATCACCTGCATTATAGGAAAATAAAAGATCTTATAGGCAGAAATCCTTGGCTTAGACAGACATTGTTGTTAATTTTTAAATGTTTTCAGCAACATTAGTTTGTGTCTTCTGAAAATGAGTAGAAATTTGGCTGACGTTTTTTTTCCTCATCAAAAAAGTCACTGAACACATTAATAATCCCCAAACTGACGGCAGCATTGCCTCATGGCACTCCAACTGGTTCTGCTCACACAGTTCAATGCCTTTTGACACTTAAAATATCTTCCCTGTTTCAATTTGTAACAAAATCTTCATTAAAAATTCTCAATTACTTTGAAGAATGAAAAAATCTTGCAGAGCAAACCATCTTGCCAAACTACCTACATCACGTTCAGGGCATATAGAACACTATATCATAGAATCATCGGGGTTGGAACAGACTTTCAAGATCACCCAGTCCAACCATCAGCCTGACCAACTGTAATACTATAACGGGATGTTGATAGCAGGGTGGCAAGGTCTTTAGTTACAGCAAATGAAAATGAGACCAAATACAGCAGCAACAGGTGCAGAAACAAAGGAAAAGAGCTGCTAACCTTTGAAAAGCCTCAGGTAGGCAGGGATCTCCAGTAAGAGAAGCTCTTACATCCACCACCAGCCCTTAAATGAGGTCTGGGAAGGATCCTGGCTCCAGCCCTTTTGGTCACTCATGTGCATTGCATGCAGCTGGGCTCCCGTGGTTTGGCCCTGCCTTCTCACCAGGTGCTCCATCACTGTTTCAGGCTGTGACTTAGCATTTCCACTACACGAACTGAGTCCCACCACGATGACCCTCAATGCCACGTCTCTTAAATACTTCCAGAGATGGGGAATACACCTCCTGTTCCCATGTGAGCTGGGACATGGGGACCAAGTGATTCTGGCAGAGCAATGGAGAGCCCAAAGAGTGCGGATATGGAATCACAGTGTTACGCTGGAAAAGCTTTGTGAAAAGCCAAGTGGAGGGTCTCTAATGGAAGGATAGAGCTGCCCAGAGTGGCTGCGTGCTGGATGGCTGCCTGCTGCTGGAGTCTGGCTCTGCTACTCGAGGGCTGCCCTTTTCCTTGCTGTGCAACAGCTTGTGCAAAATGTCAGATGCTCTTTGAAGTTTCACATGGTGAAAATTAGGACTGTTAGGTCTGCTTACTCCTGTACCAACGTTCTTGAGCTGCCGTAACTGCTTTAATTCTGTATTTCTTCTGAGCTACTAAAATAACAGAAATCTGAATTCTAGCTTTATCTTGATTCCAGCACTTTTAATTGACAGATATTAATCTGCTAAATTGACAAGACATCACACATAAGAATTCATCAGCACCTTACAACTGGAATATTTTATGGAAATGGACTTTCATTATTTTGTGCTACCCGTAATAAAACATGAAGGAGAAACTCTAGCCCTTGTTTTTTCCTCATGCAAACGTTGCCATTCATTACTCCACTTGTAAAGCACTGGTAACTGTAAGGCTGAAAAGCTCTACGAATGAATCTGTCTTACTAACCTCAGATTTACAATCAAGCTTTTTTATTTAATTAACTGCTGTTCAGTAGTATTGCAGCACAGCGTTAATAAAATATCCAGAACAAATTCAGAATGCCACATTAAAGAAACCTAAAAGAGAGATTGCATTGACCAAGAGAATACAGAGCCAAAAATGAAAACGCCCAGAACTGAATAAGGTACGTATGCAGCAGCCCCAAGAGCTGGCTCATATGGATGGGAAGAAGGAAAGAAAGCACTGGATGGGTGCTCTGTCCCAGGGCTGGTGGCAGCTGCAGAGGTGGGGACGCAGCCAGAGGCCAACTGCTGCAAGCTTCGCCAAAGCTGTGCTCGTTTCCATCAGCTGAAGACACGACAATTGTGTTTGGAGCAGAAGAGTGATCTGACCTGAAGAAAGATGTTGGCTGGCATGTGAAGTTGTGTCAAACATGAAAATTTGTAACTGAAAGTAGGCTGAGATTTGTCAGCCCTTTAGGCGCTCAGCTGCCATCCATACCCATTTTCATCCGAATGCCTCTGGTGTGGGCAGATAAGGGTGGCACACTCAAACACCTAGTTTAAATTTATAACTAATTCAATCTTCAGTGAGATTGGTCCCAGCAGATAAGAAATTACTGATTTTTTTGTTTTTGTTTTTCTGTAGCTAACCTTTTTGCTTTTGTGCATTAAGCTGATTTTATTGAACTATTCAATCAATTTCAATTTCAACATGCCTTTCCAATTTGTCACCGCATCTCCAGGGGCATCTCAGTTTGTTGTCCTACTGTTAGTATTATTGTTGCAACTATTAAAAAAATAGGCAGTCTCATGCCCCCTAGCATATGAGACATTTTCTTGATGGGGTTTTGATCACACAGAATAATTCTGATCTTCTCTTCCTTCGCAGAAGTGACATTTTAAATAGAACAGGATAAAAAATACAGCATGGAGGTTTCATCAAATGGCCTTAACCCAGAGAATTGAAATAGTTTCTGTATTCTTGCTCTGATGGTGATGCTGTGGAACCAAAGATATGAGCATCTGCCCTCAAGGGGTAGGCTAGAAACCCAGCCCACTGAAGTCACTGGAAGGCCCAGTGGCTGGTATTTTTAATAAATCTAGCAAATCTTCATGCTAGAGGAAAGTAAATGTGCTACTTCTACATAAATCAGGGAAAAAAAAATAGCTGATCGTGATAAGTGCGGAGCTTTTAGTCTGACCTAAAAACTAAGAAGAGCTTTTGAAGGAAAAAATTATGAAGGAAAGAATAATTTAAGCAATTGCAGCAGATCTAATCTGTCTGCTCTCCTGTCAATCATCTGATACAGTGCTACAAAGAAATATATCAGCTAAATTTCAGAGGTTGGGAATCAGTTGGTCAAGTGGTTAAGGTTGTTAAAGGGCTTGGTTAAAAAGTCAGGAGTGCCTTGTACATGGAGAGGGAACAGAGGATCAAATAACAGAAACAAGAAGAGATTTAACAGTACAAAACAGAACAGAATGCAGCAAGGAACCAAAACTCTGTGGTTGAGGGGACATGAGCATGGAGGATGGGCCCATGTCCTCACCCCTCATTGTGCAAAAAAGACAAATGTCATCGACATGTGCATTGTGTGCAGTGTAGACCTTGCAGATCCAGCAATATTCACTCCTTGGGCCAAGCTCTGCAGGCTCATCTGGATGCTGTGCATAATTCAGGTCACTTGTATGAGCAGCCCAGACCCGACCAGGTGCTGGGAGTGAAGAGCCCATCACCAGAGAAGAGCCCAGAAGAGCCTGGCTTGTTTGGTCTAGCAAATGAAGGCTGCTAGCAGATATGATTGCTGTCTATAAATACCTCAGGAGGATAAACACTGGGAAGGCTAAAGAGCAATTTAAACTAAAGGACAATGTTGACACAAGAACAAATGGGTATAAGCTGGCCATGAATAAATTTAGGCTGGAAATTAGTAGGCCCTTCACCTCTAAAGCTGTGGGATGCTGGAGCAACTGTCTAACACAAGGTCTGGGGAGAAAAAATGTTCAAAAGAGTATATCAAATCAGGAGTAGAGCCTTTTGGGTCTGGGTAGAAATTACGACAAATTGAGCAAAGCAGAAACTGGTTCTTTCTGTATTCTCTATGTTCAAACAAGTTTTGAAGATAAAAAAGCCCACCAAACCCCACCCTTTTCACAAGGTTTTTGTCTGATGATGGTCTCACTGGTCTGTATCACCAAACCAGCACTTACACAGGCATGGAGAAAGGAAGAGATGCCCCCTCCAAGCGCAGCTTTGCTCTGGCTCTGCCCATTGGGGTGCCAGACAGCCCCACAGATGCTGCCTCACACCCCGGGCACACACAGAGACAGGCTTTGAACAAATCATATTCAAAGAAAAAACGTGTTTTTAAATGAAATCGTAGCAAGGAAGTGCTATCTGTGAACCCAACTTTCACATGTGCGTGCCCAGTAATTTTAGGAATATGGCTGCTCCTGGATTACTCATGCAATTAATATAAATCATACACGTGCTGGGTAACTGTAGATGCCAGAGTCCAAAAATGTGGTAATTATGTGATTAAATTAATCTTCATTACGGACAAAGGGTTTGCAAAATTAGGACCTGCATTTTCAAAGCTCTGTACAAATATTGTCCAATTAATTACCACTTCCTGGGAAATGTATGACTCACTAAATTTAGCATCCTGTCTAAAGCAAATAAGGTTACCAGGATGTTACAGTGGGATTTACTGAGAAGGAATCTATTAATGAAGAAGACAGAAAATCTGAAGTTGGAAAAAAAGTCCTATTTCCTCTCATGGCTATCCTTACCTGTTCTTTGTACACTTTTCCATCTCCCCTGCCTTTTGCAATGCCAATGAGAGGAACATGTGATATTCCTCTGGCTTCCTTTCTAAATCATTTCTTCATGTGCTGGTGAAATTTTGATGCTCACTTCTTTGGTATACGACAGTAGCTTGTGAACACAGTAATAAATACTGCACCACAGCTGGGAAAATCGATTTGAAAAGAAATACCCCAGACAGTCACATGGCTTCAGCAGAAGTGCTTTATCCAAAAAGATCGAATGAGCCATCATTTAAACAAAGCTCACAGGCAGAACCTCGAAAGTATCTGCAATGCTCCTTATGGTTAAATATAAAGACAGATTTCCAGAAGTAGCCCCTATGCTGGGGGCTCAGAGAAGGCAGCTCTGCTGACAATGTCTGCAGTTCCATCTTGGTGTCCAGTTCGAGCCAAGCCTTTGATGGAGCTTGACCTTTTCTTTTCCCACATACAGCATAGCACTGTGGCAGGTATGCAGCACCCTCAGCA